TCCCTTCCCCACACCCCTGCCCACTGTGCCTCTGTTATGAATACTTACTACATGGTACTGTGATCATCAGTATATATCTGTGTGTGCCTTGATATTCTCAAAAGCAGGGATCAGGCTTATTTGCTTTTCTATATAGACTCAGAAGGACTTCAAGAAATATTTAATGAGCAAACAAATGATGGTTTTTACAGAGGATTAAGCATCATACTTACTACAACAGCCACCAATATCGTAACTCATCTGAGGAATTACTGAGAACAAGACATTCTCCTGGGAAGTCTGGAAATCTCTTGAAGGCAAGCCACCAAGTAACTCAGTAATCCTAGAGGAGCAAAGTTCAGTCCTGCAGTAGTAAAGCTAATGCTAAACATTAAGCATTATATGGCAGTTCCTTGAAGGATTAGTGGAGAAAAACTGCATGTAGTATTTTGGAGATCATTTCCTTACCACCCTTGAAGATCATTTCCTTGAGTGAATACTTTCTTGACACCTATGAGATCATTTCCCCAAGCATGCAGCTTCTGCATGTCTTTGCTTAGTAATCTTTCCGCCCATTATGTGTCTTCTCAATAAAAAGACTCTGCAAAGTCCTTCTGAGAAGTGCTCAGTGCTATCCTGCATCTATGGTTAGCTCACTTCTTGCAGCATGTGCTATTAATCTGTGTCTCGCATGATCATTTATGTGGTTGCAACAGGTTTTTAAGGCAGAAACTGTTTATTTTTCTACTTATAAAGTTTTCCCAAATAAGGCAATTTTAAATTTTAATGAAAAGGTAAAGAAGGAGCTTTTGTTTTGAAAAAGTTATTTTCTACTATAGAGCTTCTTCCCCGCCTCGGTCTACATACAAACGTCGCAGGGGCTCAGTAATGATGAATTCCTCCCTGGCGTGATCATACCCTCTAGCTGCCCCCGGTGACGGCTTTAGATGTTTGTGCTCCATTTACTCTATGAAAAGGCATAAGCCATCTGAGTCAACCTGGTGGGAAGTGAATGTGTAGTATTTGGGGATGTGATTCAGCACTGCCCTCAAAACACTTCCTTCAGAAAAAAAATCAAATTATCACGAAAATGGTACACTCACAATTACTAATCTAAGAAGTCTGGAGGCAATGGTGAAGGCACTATAACTTGAGGAAGAAGAAATAAAGTAAAATTCTTTAAGCCATTCAAAAGAGCCATATTCTACGTCCACAAGCACAGTCACTTAAATGTGTAATAAAATGTTTTCACTAACTCTTCAAATTAACAGTTAAACTTCGTCATTAATTAATCCACTCTACTGTAGAAGATAACATACATGGTGGCATTGCCCTTTCTTAGATGTAACTACAGAACAAATAAAATTTTATTTGCTGTTTTTTTCATTTTATTGTAGTTCTTCATTCTATGTTATGCAGCGTGATTTATTTAAAATGAATTTTTAGCCACTTCAAAATCAGGTAATTAACTATTTAGTTAGAATAGCTAACTTAGTTATTAGTTAACTAATATTAGTTAACTATTGTCAGAAAGACTTGGGCAAGTGTCACTAGCACTTTCTAGCTATTTGATGTGGAACCTCTCTTTGTAAGGCTCTGTAAAACGGAAGTGATAATACTGGTAGCAGCCAGCTCACAGCCTTATCATCAAAGTTAACGAAAGCACAGAAAGCATGCTTTACAGGACGCTGGCACACACCAAGGTTTCACCTGACGTCTGCTACTGTCATTGCTCTAGAAGCTCTGTAAGACCCTTCTAGAGCCCACTCTATGGGAAGCTTAAGGAAGGACTATCTACAACCATCAATTATAGCACTTTTTGAAAGTTCTCTTTAAAAAGTAAAGGGAATAAGGAAGGGTAAAGAGAGAGACAGGAGGGGAGAAAAGAGGAAGGGAGGGCAGAGGAGGAAATGTAGGAGAAAACAGAGAAAGAATGGCAAAACTAGTAGTATTTGGGGACATAATTCAGAACTTTCGTCAGAACAGTTCTCTGAAGGAAAAAACAAATCATCGTGAAAACGGTCACCCCCGAGGGATGAAGTATACACAGCCTGTCTTTATGTCATAAGAACTCAGAAAACAAAAAATTAGCTCTACTTACAAACAATGTCTGTGGTTAGTGACTGCCAGGCACATCGCTTAAACATTTTAACTACAGACATCAGAACATTTGAGTCTGAGAACACAGAGCAGAACACTGTCACAACAACATCAAGTTCAAATAGCACA